AGAAGAGCAAGGCTCGCCACAAGATCTCTAGCCTAATAGATGACATCAACGAGAAGCTTGAGGTGGTGGCAACAAGGCGAGGCAGGTACACACTTGACAGCATTGTCGCCAGCCCTGTAGCTGCAAACACCATTGACCCTCGCATCCTGAATCTATACAAAAGGGTGACCGAGCTTGTTGGCATTGTGGGACCAAGGGGCGAGCTCATAAATATGCTGTCCCTAGGGGATGGCGATGTGGATCTGTCTAGTACTACAAAGATGAAGATCCTCTCTGTCGTTGGATTTGGAGGGCTAGGCAAGACCACTCTTGCCAAAGCTGTCTATGACCACCTCAAACCGCGCTTCGAGTGTCGGGCTTTTGTTCCAGTGGGTTAGAATCCTGACATCAAGAAAGTATTTGGAGACATTCTCATAGCCCTTGATGAGCAAACTTACACTCATGCCAAATTAATGGGTTTGGATGAAAATCAACTCATGGGCAAACTCAACAAATTCGTCAAGGAAAAGAGGTACGAGCTAATATGATCACCGATTCATTAATCATTGCTACTCATCACTGGCTCACTGCTAAAAAATAATTATAGCCGCTTTTAGATTATGTAGCTGCACAATTATTGGTTGTTTATATCTTATTTATTTTAATAAAGGAAAGTGATGAAAGGAACATAACGAAATGGTGATATGCTAATAAAAAAACTATAAATGATGTCTCGTATATTTATTTACCATTTCTTGTACTGTCATGTGAATATGTAGGTGTTTGATTGTTATTGATGATATATGGGACAAGAAGACCTGGAAATTAGTCAGATGTGCTCTGCAAGAAAGTAATTGTGGAAGTAGACTTGTGATCACTACACGCATTTCTGAAGTTGCCGCGTATGCTGATGAAGCATACAAAATACAGCCACTTTCTCATGATAACTCTGAAAAATTATTGTACGCAAAAATAGTTGACGGTGAAGGGAAGTATTTCGATAGTCTTTCAGCTGGGACTTGTGAAAGAATTTTGAAGAAATGTGGCGGCGTGCCACTTGCTATCATTACAATAGCCAGTTTGTTGGCTAGTAAACCAGGAGAGGACTGGTCTGAGGTCTACAACTCAATTGGTTTTGGGCATAAATGCAATGATGACGTAGATAATACTAGAAGGATATTGTCTTTTAGCTACTATGATTTGCCTTCGCATTTGAAGGCTTGCTTATTGTATCTAAGCATATTTCCGGAAGATAGTATCATAGAGAAAAATAGATTGATATGGATGTGGATGGCTGAAGTTTCATCTCTGAGGAACAAGGAGCAGATGCAGGGGTAAGATCATTATTTGAGCTCGGGGAGAGGTACTTTAATGAATTGATAAATAGAAACATGATCCACGCACAGGAGACACAATATGAAGGGTACGTTGATGCCTGCTCGGTTCATGATATGGTTCTTGATCTGATGCATCAATTGTCAAGTGAATTTTTTTTTGTCACTCTATTGAATGGTGGAGAGTGGCAGAAACTTCAAGGGAGCGTTTCTTGTAGGTTAGCCCTACAGTGTGTTGTAGAGCACAGCATTGGTCAGCTGACTAATATCGCTGTGGAGAGAGTGAGATCCATCTTTGCCAGTCGGTGCAATTTTGGTGCATTATGTCCACGCCTCCCATTTTTACGTGTAGTAGAAATAGTAGGATGTTCTGTTTTCAACAAAGACTGCATCAAAGATGTGTCGGAGAATCATCTTGGGAGTTTACTTCACTTGAGGTACCTCAGAGTAGGGAGTATCCTTATCACTGAGCTTCCTAGGGAGGTAAGATATCTGAGGTTTCTGCAAACACTGGATTTATGGAACAGCTGGATAAAGGAGCTGCCCGAGGAGGTGGGACTTCTGACGCAACTTGTTTGCCTACGATGTAGTTCCAGACAAGAGTGCCAGCTGGTTTGATCGGTAAGCTGACATCATTGCAAGAGCTGTGTGTATGGTGTGAAAAAGATGATACAATGCAGTTTGTGAATGAGCTAGGTCTGCTGAGGGAACTGAGGGTGCTCCAGGCTAATATTCGTGCTAGGATCAGTGAGAGCATGGGAGTGCTTTGCTGGACTCCCTGGGCCATCTGCACAATATCCAGGAACTTCAGATTTCAGGTAAGGACAGGCACTGGCAGAGCATCAATGCAGGATCGGTCTCCTGTCGGCATCTCCGTTTCCTGCATTTGGATCGCTTGGTGTTCTCTGCACTGCCGGCGTGGATTAACTCGTCGCTTGCTCCAAACCTATGCCATCTGGATCTGCTAGTGGTAGCTGTGGAAGACTAGGACATGGAAACCCTTGACAAGTTGCCAGAGCTTAGTTGCCTCATACTGCATTTGACTGGCACCAAATTAGTTAGCATAAAGCTTCGTGCTGAAGGTGTTGGCTACTTCCGCAAGTTGAGATTCTTAAAGATACTCGGTTCATTTATCAGGTTTGATGTGCGTGGCAGCGAGTGCAACAGCAGCAGGGTACCATCTAATAATACTATCATGCCAGGTCTTGAATCCCTTGAGTTTGGTGTCCATGTGCGGTCCCTAAAAGACGAGAAGCAGCAGCTTGGTTTTGACAAGATGCTAGGCTTCCAGAACCTTGGAACAAGTTCGCTCCAGCGATTTAAAGCCGAAGTGAACTGTGAAGGTGCCTGTACTTGGGATGTGGAGGAAGCGGAGGCTGCGTTGGAGCACGCGGCCGCAGTCCATCCAAAACATCCTCAATGTATGATCTCACTCCACGAAGCGGTATGATGAACTGATCATGCATGCACATTTGAACTTGCTTTCAAAATTCAAATGCTACTGGCTCTGATTTACTATTGCTAGCTTCCTATCTATCCTGTCTTTCTATCTGTATAATGGTCACAATAAAATGTTTATCTCATACATCCTCTCCTTTGAATTATTATTAGTCCTAGCTCAATCGGGTTCTCCTACACAGTATTCCGGGCAAGGGCAACATAGATTATCTAAATAAATAGTTACTCCGTATTAAGTAAGGGTGGGTGGACTGTGATAGTTAACGTAAAAATATCTCGATTGCCTTGTTCTCGCTTGCATGCATGTAGGGCCTGTTTGTTTTTTGCTCAGATTCATTCTGAACACCAGCGGCTGGATCTGCTGCCTATAGCTCAGATTCCGATCCAAACACGCAGGATTGCAGTGGCCATACATGCATGTCACCGAGTTTGCCGTGTTGTCTCACAAATGCCATAGTCTGCCAACCTGTTGGCCATGTTTGCGTGGCTCAACGCAGATTCATTCGTAACATTATGAATTGTGGTGTCTAACTACTGAAGGAACGTAATTAGAAATGCAAGGAAAAGCACTCAGTTTTGGAATGTGTATGTTGTACATGTTTCTATGATGATGACAGGGAATTCATGAGTGGCCAGCCGAGTGTGCATGTGCATTTTTTTCTTTTTCCTCGCAGTTCAATATATTTGTATTTATTTCGTAACCGTATCGAACAAATGGTAGGCATGTATGGAAATGAGCAAAGCCCCTGAGTTAGTAACCAAGGCCTGGAAGTTGGTGGACATCGTTGGCTCAGGACAAATTCAAATACTGCGTATGCCAGATCCGACCGCATCTTCAAGCAAAGTATGTTCAGCAACGTTTGCATGTACATCTTCCATTTAAATTAATGCAAGGAGTATCACACATCAGTATCTGTTCGTGAGCTTATGATTTTCATGACATAGCACACACCGAACAATTCAGTAGAATTTAAGACTGTTATGGTCATATTCAGAGCAGTATATAATTCTGATATATAAGCATTGTGTTTTATTTGTTTTCTTTGTAGGTTATGCGCTTGTTGTACACAGATAATGGGCTGGCACTTTTGGCTCTCAGCTCCAATGCTGTTCATAAGCTGTGGAAATGGGAGCACAGGGACAAGAATCCAGGTGGCAAGGTTAGATAGGACCACTAGCTTAAGATTTCAACACTATAGTTCTGTTTGTTGTTTTCTAAAAACCATCCATCATTACTTTTCATAAGTCATCCAAATCTGTTCCACCTGTACTATGGCAACTGGAAAATGGCATTCCAATGACAAACGACACCATTGATGGCAATGACCCTAAAGAAGCAACAGCCTGCACTGCACTACCCAAAAATGACCAGTATCTAATTTCTGCTTCTGGTGGCAAAGTCTCATTGTTCAACATGATGACATTCAAGGTATGTCTTCTTCAGTTGTCTATAACAATAAGTAGTTAATTCCATGATTGATCTCTTACAAATCATGCATGACAACTTCCGTAAAATAATTTTCATTTCGTAGTTGCACCATGGCCTTTCTTTGGCTTCACTGATCTTGTGCAATCTCTCATATATAGGTCATGACTACTTTCATGGCACCTCCACCTACTGCAACTTTCCTTGCATTCTACCCGTTAGGCAATAGCATCATAGCTATTGGAAGGGAGGACTCTTCAATTCAAATCTACAATGTCCGTATAGACGAAGTGAGTATTAAACGTGAATCTATCATCCCCTGTTTCCATGAATCTCAGAGTATTGGCAAAACTCATTATATATGGTTCTCACTGGAAATGCAGTAATGTACCCATTGTAAAATAATGTGCTCTCATTTCAGACTATATATCCCCTCATGTTTTACTTATGTATTAGGATCATGAGATTGTAAATGTTGTTTTACATATGTTCTTTTTAACATAACAAATTATGTACTTTTTGCGGGCTTTGAGCAGATACCACAAGGTACACATATTACATAGCAACTTTGTGGTAGCTCCCATCAACAATATGAAGAGTAGTAAGTACCTCGTGGTATATGACCCAACAAACCTTCATAAACCATACATATGTTGTTAGCTCGACATTTAAAATTTTGAGAATTTTTAACGATAATGGATTCTTCCTATGTGGAACATTATGCTTAGTGTACTAATTACCGTTTAGTTTATATTTAACATTGACGTGCCAAAATATCAACTTATCTTAATCAAATTGCACAGGTTAAAATTGTGCTCACGGGTCATCACAAAAAGATAACTGGACTAGCATTTTCGCAATCAATGGAGGTGCTTGTATCTTTTGGTGCTGATGCTCAGGTGTGAATTCTAATATATATCAAAATTAGGACTAGCGATTATGTTTTTGCTTATAAATTTAAGGGATGCTGAATTAAATACAGTAAAATGTTATGTGTCGGTGTTTTGTGAACCGGCCAGTAAATTTAGTGCCGCGTAGCTCTAGGAATCGATGGAAGCACTCAAGACATGAGGAGATTATACTATTTCAGGCCGGAGCCCTACGGTCTCAGAGGGGTTCGAGTTCGTGTTTCTCGGTTCAAGTGCTCAGTTGGCTTACAATGGGGGTGCTCATAAGCTTGGGTTCAGAAGTGAGAGGACTCGAGAGAATAGATCGATCCCTCTAGAGCCATAGAGAGTGTTTCCTTTTTTCCGTCCGCTAGAATGAAGGCCCGGTTCTCTTATGCTTTCGGGGGCCGAGTGACAATTGAAAGGAAAGGGTTACCACGACCCGAGTGTTCGAGAACTCGAGGGGAGGGCGGCGGTAGGCGAGCCCGGTCCGTGGGCCCTCTGCATCTTGTCCCAGCTTCTGTTGCATGCTCAGATGTCGTCACGGGTTCCTGTTCTCCACGTCGAGGTATGGTGCGCCATAGCGGCATAGTGCGGGTCGTGGCTGGTATAGTGCGCCATAGCGGCATAGTGCGGGTCGTGGCTGTCCTCTTGTAGTCCTATGGGACGTGGGCGCATAGTGCGAGTCGTGGCCTTTGTCCTTGCGCCTACTGCCTCCGGGGGGCGTCGTGCGCTAGTTTGACTCTATGGCTATCGTCCTCTGCTGATCGGCTGCCCTCCTGATCATGAAGGGGGCGGCGAGGCTTCATCCCACACACGGGTGATCATGAAGGGGGCGGCGAGGCTTCATCCCACACACGAGTCAAGTCCCTGGACGTGAGACCCGTGCTCTGTGGCGAGCATGGCATACACCTGCCTGTCGAGTCATACAGTGTTTGAGCGGTCCCGTGCCATATCCTGACATTGCCTAGCCACAGAGTGGCCTTTTGAATTGGTGGGGGGAGCAGTCCGAGGGGTGATGCCTCACCCCAAGACCCTATGGTCCGAAGAGTGGTCGATGCATCCTAAGGCCCCACGGTCCGTTGGGTGGTCGTCGTCCTTTTGGTCTGAGTGGGTGTGCGGTGCGTGCACGTCTCGTTGTGGCAGGCGCATTGAATGCGCCAACCTCCCCTGGTCTTATCCATTGACGGTCAGCCTAGGCCCGGGGTGGTCGAGGTCGTGCCTCGTATCCCGACCCGACTGCGTGGTCGGGTGGAGTGAGTGGTCGAGGCGCTACGCGGATGATGGGCCGTGGCCTACTGGGCCACAAAGTGCGCTTTCCTCCGGCGTAAGCCGCGTTGTGGGGTAACCGGGGTATGCTCCCCCGACATTATGTTAGTCGCATTTCATACCATCCATTAGTCCATTTTCTAAAATATATAAAGATCTATAAATACACACCACTTTCTAAAAGGTATAAATATCTAAAAATACAGTATTGTTTCTTTCTGAATCATTCTTTTCTTGTTTTTTTTGCAATGAAATGAAATTTGCAGCTATGTGTTTGGAGCATTGATGGTTGGGAGAAGAAGAAATCAAGATACATCAAACATCCATCTAATGGTTCCGGTGCTTTAGTTGGTGATACAGTGGTGCAGTTTCACTATGATGGAACGCATCTTTTAGTAGTTCATGAGAGTCAGTTGGCGATCCATGATTGGCAATTGGAATGCTTGTGCTCGGTAAGTCATTCACAACATTTTCATAACAATATATTTGAATCTCTTAGTAATCATATGCAGTCTTGTCTATTGAGTCGGAGTACTAACATATTACATGATTTACATCATGCTTGTAGAATGCTCCTAATCGTATCGACGCATTATAATAAGGACATTACACACTGATATTTAACCTTCCATTACTTGACAATGCAGTGGTTCCCAAGAGATGCACCCCCTTCCCCAATGTCAAGTGCGGTATACTCACTTGGTTGTTTGTTGGTCTATGCTGGATTTCGTGATGGTGCAATTGGAATATTCGATGCAGAATCTCTTACGTTGAAGTGCAGGATAGCACCCTCTGCCTACATACCATCTTCAATATCCAGGTATGTGGAGTTTCAAGCAGTTCCTATTTCTTTTTGTGAGTGGTAGTTTCAATTTTCATAACCAACGTCTTGTTTCTGTTCCCTCTCTTGTTCCCAGGGATGGTGAAACTGTCTATCCCACACAGAACTGATCCCACAGTTGTCGCTACGCATCCGTGGAAGCCAAACCAGATTGCAGTGGGCATGAGCGATGGTGCAATTCTTGTGCTGGAGCCGTTGGATATAGACAACGTACAAGTGGGGAGCGACGTCACCTCAGAACAACGTCCATCCCGTGTTGTCAGCAGTAGCAGACTCAGTTAAATATTTTGGCTTGGCCGCTAGATACATATTCAGTCAAGTGGAACTGATTTTTTATGCACCCATCCAGTTATGTGTACACCATCCATCGTCATATCTCCTCAAGATCTATATATCTAAGACTAGTGTTTTCATGTCGTTGAGGACTTCCTCATTTTGTAATAAATATGCATGTTGCTAGTGGGTGAGACATTTCCCTCCCCATCTCTCTCCTTCTTTTTTTCAAAAAAAACATAATTGGATATTGGGCATCGTATTTTCTTATCTTATTATATACAAACAACCTTGGGACAATGCTGAGTATCAGCCTACCCAATTCTCCAGTCAAATTGGCTTAGGTTTAATTGCAATTGCAATACTCTCGTTTTGTGAATGATGTGAGATTTCGACATGCATTGTAAAAACTCGTTACTAGTGGAGAAAATTGTCCTTGGATATCGTGACGATATGCAGACTAACTCCACTTGTAACGAGATAGTTTGCATATCATGACTTACTAAAATAATTATGAGAAAAGCATTCAGATAAAGAAAAAATACAGAGGGAAATGAGAGTGACAAAATATTTTTTGTTATTAGGATCGTGCCCGTGCGTTGCTGTGGGCAAAACAAACAGTGATAATGGCATACACTGTCTAACACAGAAGTCAAATCATCATCAATAAAAAGAAACTGTTTATATTTCATTTCTAATTAATCCATCCCATCAAATTTTTTATTTGACCTAGATCCATTTGCAAAGGAAAATAAACATAACATATGCAGATAAGATGTCCTCGAAAAAATCTCTTGTATATTAATCAACATGTCAATTGTCTTGCATAGCCATTTTCACGCTTGGCAGGGACATCAGACTCCATGGGGTGTAAGAAGACTATGCATAGCTTGTCTGCACCAGAACATGCACGCTATTCAAATTTTTTACAAAGCCAACTGCGCGCAGACCTCGAGTGAAAGAAACAAAGCACATAAAAGTGCTTCTGCAAAAAAGGGTGAATCAAGCGCTGCCTATTATTATTTTTCCAAATGTAGACTTCATGTAAATATGGTGAAACGAAACACAACACATGTAAGTGCTACTGCTACTAAAGTATGATGATCAATAAATTACAATATCTGAAAAACCATTCTAGGCTTCTAGCAGTGTTATTGTGTCTACTGCATCAAAAGTCAAAGTTGTCTTCTGCTTCAAGACAATTTTCAGATAAGTTCACCAAGTCATGATAGCACATCGACTTGCCTCAATGCCTCCTCATCATTGCACATATCCAGGGCATGCCCTGTCCTCGTCACACATCTATATATGCATGCAGTTCAGCATGGCACACTTGTGGCCTAGCATCCAAAGGCGCCATTGCCTCGCCACTCCCATGCCCATGGCCATCCAGCACACCAAGCAGTACACACCACCGGCTGGTGGTCACATCCCCGTTGCCCATGGCCATCCAGATCCAGCACGCTGAGCAACATGATGGATGCCCATTTGTGCGTATCTTTAGCTTCAGGGCATTCCTTTGACCGACTTAACTGCAAAGGTCAAGTGCATCAATTCAAGCCCAGGGATACAGGAATGAGACAAAGGAAAATGTCTAGTTATGCTTAAAGCCTAGATTTCCTAAACAGTTACATACACTAAACTGAAGGATCAGTCATTTTCTCAGAGAAATTGTGATTCAGCTTTGGTAATAGACTTCATAACTACAATTGTGCAAAATATAGATGTCACCTCATTTGTCGATCAGACATGTAACAAATTCAAAGTCTCTCTAAGAAAGATTAAGTCCACCCAACTCTCTTTCAAACAAACTTTGCCAATAAAGAATAATGTCTGCAGACACCGCTGAACCTCAGCAAAAGAGACTTTGCGATCATCTTCGATGCAGTCTACCTACCTACTACCTACTCTAATGGTACTCATTTGTCAATGCTCAATATAAAATGGTTTATTTAACTTGAAGGGGAAGGTGTCCGAGAGTAGCTAAGAAAGTTCAGAGTTCTGAAACTCTGCATCCAAACATTCTGCAGGCACCTAGGATGATTTGAACTCACCCAGGTAAGCATTCTTGATCTCTACTTGTTGTTGACTGTAAACTAAAAATTATAGTTTAGAAGGAAAAAGACCCGCATGGTATGAGATGTTGTAGCATCATACTGAATATAATCCAAGGCTCAGCATTAATTAAAGGAAATAGCAACCAAAAGAAACTACTTCTGGTTAATAAAAAAGTAGAAAAAAGAAACTTGCCGGTGCTGGTTATATCTCTAAATGCACTGCACCCAATGGGAGCTGCCATCATACTACTGGAGGATTGTTGTTAACCAGAAGCAACCCGTAAAACCAGCATGTCATAGTTCAGGCATATTCCAGTATTGTAGATTTGTGGTCAGACATGTTTTTTTCCAGAAAAAGAACATTGCATTACAGTGATTGAATTTTGCGAAGGAGGGTTGTCTTCCAAACATGACTCAGATCCTTCAACATCATATGGGAAGAATTAGGTGAAGGATATGCTAAAAGATAACTACCTCAAATATAGGACTCAGACTATATCTTCAATCACTAACAGATGAAAAAATTTCAAGGAAAGTTCCAAATGACCAAATGAGAATCGTATAAACATAAAGGCACGACAAAATAAAAACGCGCAACAAGTATATATAGACTAATGAATGAAAGGATAAATATTTTAGAAGCTAAATACCATTGTAAAAGTTGGTGGCCTACTGATCTGTAATGCTTGCAAGTTACAGATTATGTGCACTGACCTGATACTTGCCTATGAAATAGTTATATTCTAGATTGAGCTGCCCAATGTTTCTATAGAAAAAAAAACTTAATTATTCTATTCCAATCAAATTGAACTGGCTAGTGATCCATGAATAAACATTTTTATATGTAGGAAAGTAAGTGATAAGCCTAGCCTAAGAAAATGTATAACATTGGGGAACAAGAGCAGTCTAGGAGAGGCATGAGTTCAGCGGTACAAATCCTTAGTGTGAATAGAGAAAGCTGTAAGAAAGCAATGGGTACCGATTACCTTTATATGGCCATCACAATTCAGAAAGAAAGCAATGGATCCTTGATGTTTTCAGTCATTGCAGCAAAATGATGTCACTATGAACAGGATAAAGTTAAATCTCATCGGCAACAAAGCTCAGCAATGTATGTCCTAGCCATGTCCTCGTTGAGGCAGCCGAGATTCCTGAGGAGGGAGTAGAGATCTCCGCCATTGATGTACTCCATGAAGTCGTCTGTAGAAGCGGAGGGAGATCATCACGAGGATGAGATGAGGTTGGTTCGCGATGGCCTTGTCCTCCATCGTAGATCCCAGTCACATCTCCGCCTGGTCCGGGGCAGAGGAGGGAGGCGGCAGCGCGAAGGGAGAGTCGCCGCTGCTTGATCCAATCGGCGGAGAGGGTGGGAGGCAAGCGCTGATGCGGTGGACGCCCTCAAGGCCCACGTCCTCAGGAAATCACTGCGTAGGAGGCGGGGTCACGGCGATGGGCGAGGCGCAGCTGATAGTTGGAGGCGGCGTCGGTGCATCGCGACGACACGGGTGTGACGGGGAGGGAGAGGAGGAGGCGACACGGCGGCGTGGGCGAGCGCAGCGCATGTGCGACGGGGAGGGACAGGAGGCGGCGGCGCGGGCGAGCGTGCGGACGTGGCAGCGCGGGTGCGGGCGCGGCGGCGAGGGCGAGCTCAGGGAGAGGGATCTCGCGAGGGGAGTGGCGCACGCGATGTAGCCGGGCGGGCGGGTGAGCGAGCGAGCAAAGCGCCGGTTGGGCTGCGAGCGACGTATGTTTTAGTTGTATAGAGAAGAGAGAGAGAGATTTAGTCCTCTAAACACGCTATCATCATTCCTGAGTAGTTATCAATTTTCATAATTTGTAACGATGATCTTGTTTATCTTTAAATAATTAGATGGTATATCTTCAAGCTAACATCAAATACATTAGATTCAACCTAAACCTATTGATGCTTAGGACCTCCATGACCACTGCTAAGTGCTAACCAAAAGACCCTAAACCTATTGAAGCTTAGGACCACGAAAAAACCCATGAGTTTCAACCTGATTTATACCTCATGTTGGAGACAAATGAGTGCCCTTCTAAACATTTGGAGTTTGCCCAGAAAAAAAATCATAAGAAAAGGTCAGTCTCAGAGAATGCAGACTGACACTGTTACAAATGGGGAAGTTACTTATACACGACAGTTGGTGTTCCTTGTTTTCGCTCAAAAGAAATGGGGAAAAGGCCATTTCAAGGGCTTCACCATTCACACATCCTTTTCTTCCTCAATGCAAATAATATTAGTAATGAATATACAACAATGTATCAGTTTCCATAAAGACCCCACGGCGAAAATCAGACCCACTGATATCTGCAAACAAGAATTCCAATTCCTCGTACAAAATGGGGAAAAGAAAGGCAAAGTGGGCAAGCCATACATCTGCCAAAAAAAGCACACCCAAGCAGCCCCACTGCAAGAAGGACTATTACCAAACTAGTTATCAACCCTGACAAACCCAAAGTGTGCAGGTGATACAGACGACGTACAAGTGGGGAGCGACGTCTCCTCCGAACAATATCCATCCAGTGATGTCAGCAGTAGCAGGGGTGACAGCCAACTCTAGACGTCTGATTGACTGATGACAAGGTGACACGGCAATGCTTGTCTGGCCTAGAACGCCAGATTCAGTTAAATATTTGGCTTGGCTGCTAGATACATATTCAGTCAAATGGAACTGACTTTTTATCCACCCATCCAGTTACATGTATACCATCTATTCCCAGACTAGTGTTTTCATGTTGTTGAGGTCTTATTACATGTGTTGTAATATGTGTAAAGTAATATACTGCTATCTCTCTGTACGCGCGGCAGGGGCAGACGCCGAAAGGGCTCCCCTGCTGCTGCACTATACCCGTGGCAGGGCAGGTGCCGAAAGGCTTCCCTGCCGCACTATAGCCACAGCAGGGGCAGACGTCAAAGTTAGTCCTGATGTC